TTTAAAAACTTTTTTGAGGATGTACTCATTTTCCTTCAAGAAGAACAGAGATATTCTAAGTAAGGCACGTTGTTCAAAGCAAACTCGAAACAGACAAACAGGATTTTTTAAAAAGCTTGATACTCTGGCAGTTGAAGCGACATCTCTTTGGCACAGCTGCATGATTTGTGAGAGACACAAACTCTATCACAAGAACGAGCACGACAATGTTAACTTGACAACAATATGTACAAAAATGTATGTAAAAATGTTATAAATATGTCTAAAAACCACAGACACTATGTACATCTTTGTACCAAAGAAAGGCAGGATGATTCGTCATTGTTATCACACATGATGGATTTGTGCAACAAAAGTCAATATGTCACAGACCAACTGAAAAACACATTCTGAAGACACAGCGTCGCCATGGAAATCAATCGTAGTGTTTGTTGGAATTCATGGCGCAGGCAGTGGTGACATTTTTCAGCCTGTGATGGAATTATAATGGAAGCTGAAACACAGTGAAGAGAGATCACCTGCAGCAATAAATATCTCCTTAATGTGTTTACAATTGTCAGTGACACATGCACTTTTGCTGTATTGTCAGGATGTCAGTCTCTGGTCTGTGGGCAGTAGGCACAGTGCGATGTTGTGGTGAGGGGTCTCCGTACCACCCCTCTGCTGTTCTCCGCCTGCTCCCCGCTCTCATTCTTTCTTCCTCAGGACGATATAAATGAGGCCACTGATGAGAGAGAGGGGGAAGGCTACCCAGGCCAGCACGTAGGCGTAGCCGAACTGTGTGCTAGAGCTGTCGTCGGGACTCATCACGGTGTAGATGATCGCCCCGCACATCACAAACAAACCTAGGGAGGGGACGACAGGAAGGCGTGAGGAGAATGTGGAGGAATTTGCCGGGAACATAGGATGAGCTCACTACTCCACCCGCATCTGCTCCAGGGTGTGACCGGTCAGCGTGCGATGAAGTCATACTCACTGGCCAAGATCTGGAAGATGGCGGTGAAGAAGAAGCGTCCGCCCTTCACAAGTTTGAAGAGCTGGAACACGAACGCGATGAGCGAAAAGAAGCAGAAGAGCACGGACAGGATCATGAGGGCCTGCACCGCCTGGATCCAGTCTGAGAGAACGGAACAGAAGAGATGGAGGGCGTGAATTTCAATACGTTCATTACTGTTGTGCTGACGGTTCAGTTTGATTTTCAGGGACGCTGACAAACCTTCACTGCTGGCCAGCTTACAGTGGTATCCTCCATTGGCTGTCATGCAACTGTACCATAGATCTGAGCTCTTATCCCCACCTACAGTCCAGGCCTGGTAAACACAACAACACAGTCATTTAAATACATGGCAGCATCATCACTATTTTGAAATATCAGTATAAGCAATAATAATAAATAGTCATTGAAATAAAACAGCTAGATTGTGTGCTCACTCGCTCTCTATTCACAGTCTCCATTTTAAAATGAAATGAAAAATAAAAGTTGGACTTACACTGGCTGCCGTGGACACAATGAGGAGGATCAGAATGATCAAGTGCAAGACGAGCACTCCGAGCAGGATGAGCAGCATTTTTAGTTTTCAAGTAGATCTGGAATAATAAGACGAAAAGAAGTCAACCCACATGGATTTAAACGTCCCAGCAAACCGCTGCAAGGCGTAGTCTCGTCTCGAGGTGGCGCCACATCCTCACTCCTCGCTCCACATCCTCAACCGCAATGTTTACCTCAATGTGAAAGTATCCTCTTACATTCAAACGTAGAAAGAAGGAGCTCTTAATTTCTTCCCGATGGGCTGAAAATACTCAAGTGTTTAAAGTCAGAAAGTAAATCCTCAAGTCGATTTCACTGAATACTGAACTATCTATTGAAAATTCAAGATATTTAATCACTAATAATCACATCAGCAAAGCATTTTTGCATAGTGAGTTTTAAAAAGCTTTAAAGTGAGAAACAACTGAGGCTCGCTGACTTCTACTCAACGCATGATGCTGGAAAACAAACGCCACCCATCTGCGTTAAAACGCATTCCAGCGTAGTGCCGCCATGCGTGCATCTCAACCGTGCGCCGTTTTAAAAGCGTTTATCTGGACTCAACCTCAAAAACTTAATGAACGAGTGAACCACTCAAACACAGCAACCACATATAAGACAGAAATGCACTTTTTTCACGTGCGTAAATCCAAAGTCGATTTAAAGTCCAGGGGTGAGGTCCTGTTGTTATGAGTGGAAAGACAAAAAAGAAAGTAAATGAAAAGAAACAATCCAATCCAACTTACAAAAAGGCAAAGCAGCACGTTTGAATCCGTGAGAAGGTGAGGACCGCGAAGTGAAGCGTTTGGGGAGAAAAGTATCAGCGAGCTTCTGCTGCGTCTCTGCGACTCTTTTCCTCTGAAGCTACTATTCCAGATGTGGCTCACACGCCCCAGTCTCTCTCTCCGCCTGAGAACACCGCCCTGCAGGCCCTGCACGTCACCAGAGGCCCGTTCCAAAACCCGTCCCTCTTTCTTTTTTCTGTTTTTTCCCTCCCTCTTGAGGTAGCCTATCATCTGGATCATAGTAAAGTCTGCAGGATTGTATGGAGTATCCCATGGTATTATTGTGCAAACCCCTCAGCTTGAATATTTAAGCCTATGGACGACGGTCTTTTGCTTTTAATCCCGAGGAACTAAAATAACCTGTTAAAGTCCAATGAGAACGTGTTGCATCTGGAGTACTATGAATTAAACCTTATCAGTGCACATGAGGTATTTTCTATTTATACTTGAAGAATCTCAATTCAGTATATTATGAAGAGAGTCCAAGACATTCTCTGTCCACACAGTTTAAAAGAGCACTGCTATCAGTTGTCCGAACTGATCAATACTTTCCATACAGACTGCCTATATGAGCTGGGTCCAGTCAATATTTTCTTTATTCGTAGATAAGAAAATAAGATAGAATTTATAAATATAATGAATCCTGTGCCAGCTTTAAGATTGACAGATTGGAATGGAATAAAACAATTGAGAATTAAGTATTAAAAAATGTGAATGGCATTTTACAATTGTTTATATCATGTGTTCTTACTTGTATCTTGTCTTGTGATGACTCTTGGTGTGTGTGTTCCTAGGGATGTTTGTGTACACTCGCATGAGCTAGAGATGTGTTTTTAACGTGTGCAAATAAGTCTAAGTATACTTACACAGTAAATGTATTGTTATGGGATAGGTTGTTACCAAAGTACTACATTAAACTACGTTTATGTTTTTACTCTGTGTTGAATGTAGCTATTGAGACAAATCATTTGCATATTTAATGTCGTTTTCCTCCTCATTTTTAAGCCCCTGCAGGCTTTTTCTGCAATTCTTCTTCACATTGTCTCAGAAATGATGTGTCAAATCTTTTTACATTTTAGTATAAATACAACTAAAGAACTCAACTGTTTATATTTTCCTTTGCAGGCCACACCTGAAATCCAAACTATTTGAGCAGTAGCTGTCAGGACGGTCATGGTGACGCTACCTTGTTCCAGATGGTTGAAGTTGGCTGGACAGGCTTGTGCACATTGGGCTTCAAAAAACACACATGGCCAGCAGTTTTCTGTCCAGATATTCTGTGTGTGTGTGTGTTTGGATGTGAACATACCAGCCCTCTGGAGGCCCCCGAGGTATGCCCAGAATGCCTGCGTCTGTGCAGAGAAGGGAGAGTTTGTCCAGTGCCAAGGTAAGTTAACATGGTGCAATTTTTCGGTCATGCTAAATTGATAGAACAGCTTGGATCTCCCCGTGCACAAGGCTCATGGATGAGTGAGAGATTTGCCCTCCACTGCCCGGCCTCCGCGGTCCTGCATCCCTCATTACGCTGTGGTCTCAGGCCATTTCCTCACAAGTGACAAAGTTGTAAACCGAGCCAGAATGCAAATAAAGAGAGTTACAAGAAAACCTAAATAAAAGCAAGCATCACAATTGCTGTTTTGAAACCATCCCCGTCCAAACGTGACTGTGATCTTGTGCTGCAGTTGCAGAACGCAGCTCGTGTGCGTAATTTCTCACATCTCCGAAACAGTTCTTGGCACAGCAGGTGGATTCCTGTGGTCTGTGTTTGTAAACACACAGGGGGGAGGGAGAGAGGGGCTGCTGCCCAGGCTCACTGTGGGACGCCGGGCGAGGCAGTGGTGTGTGCCCTTGCAGAGCTGGAAGGGGCAGAAAGAGAGAGAACAAGTGTGTGAATGTGTGTAAGAGAGAGGCCTTTGACAATCAGCTGACCACTCAGCTGGACTTGCCGCTGTTTAGGAAGATGTAATTGGTACAGTGGTCCGGGGGGGGGGGGGCAGCAGGGTGAGAGCGTAGACCCGGCTGCCCAGGTGGAGCAGGTGTGTGTGGAGACTATAGATTTCACAGTGGTCTTTAATCTCCTCTTTGCTCAGAGAGGATTCACACACAGTCCTGCTCCGTTAGAATATCACAGAGTTAAAGCTGTTTCTTTACGATGATTTATAGAAATCCAACCAAAGAAAAACAACCATGATCATAACTTGTGTTTTTGTGAGCTCTCATGATACAGCATCTGTGATTCATTCCTCTTCACTGCAGTGAGCTACAAAGTGCCCCACCCTTTTCTTTATTATTTAATTTAATAACTGAGTTCCCTCAGACAGTGTGTGGATGTTAAATGATATATAATAATAAAAAAACAAGCACACATTGTCTTTTTAATGAAGCCTTGCTGCATTTTTCAACTAAAAGAATAAAGCTAGATCCTCGGTTACTGTGAAGATGATCTGTGGTTTGGCTTTGTCTCACTTTATCTCATAAAGCGTATTAGTGCCAATCTCACTGACTGATTACTTTGTGCTGTCAAATGGCTCAACCATAACCCTGAAGAGTAATGGTCTTTTTTTTTGTTTTACATGGTTAATAGCACTGGAAACCATCCAAAACCACCCCCCCACCCTCAAGCCTGTTAAATGAAAACACACAGCTCGTCTTCTTCTGAAAGTGAAGGATTACAAAGCAAACAGAGGAGAGGCGAGAGGAGCTAAACCACCCGGTAACTGTAGTCACGGCCATTGTGGCGAGGCTGCAGCTGAAATATAAAACTGTCACACCCCTCTTTATGTGGAGATTTACCAGGACACAGGTGAGCGGTTTTCAAGAGTTAGTTATATGAAAAAAGATTGAACTGCCAGATCTGTGGTTGTTAACTAAAGAACTTTCTGTTTCCCTAAATTAATCTCACAGATTCATGGAAAAGGAACCTTGAGCAAAGCAGCTGATCTAAAATGAAACCACAGGGGCGTGATGGTGATTTCACTGTTATCTAACGACAGTACAAATTGTGATTTGCTGACTACGTTAACACTTTAGGGATGAATCTGTTTTTAATAGGACAGAGTACACATTATAGTCACGATGTAGTTTGGGCATGAATTGTATAATTCTTCTTCAACAGATATACAGTTACATCAATATTTCTGGATTTCGTTAAAAAGGCTGCAAGTCAATGCAAGTGCTAAATTCCTTTTTGGTAGCAATGCAACTTATTCCAGGTATGTGTTTCTCTATTTAAACAAATGATTAACCTAACACGAACCAGTGATCATTCCAAAAGTCAAGTCGAGGTGTCATAATGAAACGGTCTGCTTCTCTGTGACAGAATGAGTCAGCCACAGTTAAAGCCCAGCCCTGGTTTACAGCACTGCACGGGCTCCACCTGCAGGAGTGGCCAAATGACTCTTTTGGACGACTCCAGCCCCAATAGCAAACATGGGACTGAAGGAGAAGAGAGAGACAATTAGGGATAAGGTTTGGGGTTTTTCAGAAAGCGCCAACTGGCTCAGCTGTCGGGAGGACGTCTCAGTGAAACAGCTGGACAGGCAATTTTCCTTGTGGGAATAAGAAGGAATTATGGAACGCCCCAGTGCTCCTTCACCTATGGAAGCCACTGCCAAAACAAGAGGAAACGCTAAAGCGTTGAAGTCAGGCCTGGTCAAATGTCGTCAGGAGGAGCTGACAACGCCTGCTCACTAGAAAGTCCTCAGGTCGTCTCGCTGGACACATCTGGGTAACAGCTGGGAAGCCATTGAATCTACACAGCTGCATATGGTCTTCATTCTTTTATTTTTGAATGGGTTAGTTTGTGTCGTGGCCTATGAAATAAACTGTTCCCTGCATCATTCTATGAGACTTTAGACGGTAACTTTTCTTTTGTATTCTCTGCTTACCAGGATGTGTACGGCTCTTTCCTTTGTGCCCCTGCTCCTCTGGGTTGAAGTGGCCTCACTGTGCCGTTCTTAGTGTTTATGTTTTGCCACTTAGTGACTATCAGATGACCACGCAAAGCAAGAGGAGCTGGAGAGGAGGCCCCCACATCTATTGGTTAAAGGATGGCACACTTAGTGAGGTCACACTGAGCTCATTGACACTGACATCACAACAGAACATAAGGCGCGACCATATTTGAAGCACATCAGAGATTGTAAATGTCCGCGCTGTGTGTGTCAAAACAACACAACATGGCCGTTTGTGCACAAGTGTAAAGCAGGATCACATTAGTGCATCTGCGCCCAGTCTCACCTCTCCCATTTTTGAACTCTGAGGCTGCAAAACGGACCATGACCGAGCTGGAGCTCTCCATTGGCTGCCAGCTAAATCAGATAAAGCCGACCCGAGTGTTTGAGAGGGGGAATGGGCTTAGTTTCTTTTCCTTAAGAAATGGGCCTGTCCCCTCCCTGTGAAGCAACAACAACCAAATAAATCAGAGACATGCAGCATGACAGACTCCAGATTGTGGCACCCCAGTGATACTAAACATGTGCTAATCATTAGCCCCTGGCTTCCTGTTGAAGTCGATGTCATCAGCGCACACATCCCGACAGACAGGACCAGCATACAGAGCTGTTGCCTGGAATCAGAATGATACGGGCCTCAGGGGTCGGAATGAAGCAATAAAACCTGAATGAAAGAATTCAATTTTGATCGCCTTGCTTGCATTTCTACACCGTTCTCACAGATATGCTATCTTTGGATAAATATCTATACTGCATCCGACACGCTTCACACTAGTTACTTTAACTCCAATCAATGTGTCTGAATGAACACTCGTGGTCATATGATTCACTTGCTTTAAGATCTGCAGCTAAAATCCCCAACCGCTCCGAGCTAAGCAAACAATTCTTTTCTACTTGTTATCGACAGTTTTCTCATTCCTGCTGCGGCGCTATCTTTTCCAGACAAGCGCATGTGTGCTGCTTTGACAGCGAACAGTGCAGCACTTCCTTTGCAGGCTGCCAATTCACATTTTATGCGAGAGAAGGTGTGTGCCAGCAAATATTTTCATTCCCAAAGAGTTGCCAGCACTTTGTAGCTCTTATAAATCAGGTAAGGAGCAGACTCTAACTGGTTATTAGCACACTGTGTGAGGCACGTTTTTTTTGTAGCTGCGTAGAAATGATATAGGGAGCAGCCCCCAGAGGTCAAAGGTCACAATGGGCTAATGTAAACACTCTGAGGTAAGATGTGTGTAGGTTTATAGTGCATCTGAGGTCATCAGGAGGATTTAACACATGGTTTAACACTTGGAACACACTAATATTGAGTCTTTGTATAAAACAGCTCAAGGGTGAGTCTGCATATTAATAGCGTATTAATAGCTTCAGGACGAGTTGTTGTCTTATGTAAAAGAAAAGAGGGAGAAAACACATGAATAAGATCATTCTTAAGCTTGCTGCTGAAGGAGCTTTAGTTTTATCTGTGTCTGGATCAACCTCGCTGCTTGTGTTATGAGTCTGGCTGCTGACAAACATGATCATGAAATGCATAAGTTAAGGGAATTCAATTTAGCAGTGCATGGGAATGTAGTGAGCATCTAAGCAATACATTTCCACCAATGCTTCAGAATAAAAAAAATATAAAAAAGTAAGATAACTTTATTTATTTTTTAACCAGGTTAGTCCCACTGAGATTAAAAAGGGAGGGAGATCTGACCACGAATAGCAGCAACACAGTTTTAACAACGGACAAACACATAGATTAACCACATAAATAATATTAACACTTGCACACGGACGACCTGGACTCAAGAGATTTCACCATGTGCTTTAAAATAGGAGAAATCAGGAGTGCGTGGAGCTGAAACTCAGTCTGAGAATTATTCTCTGCATTTGGTCCCGAAAATCTAAAAGCTTCCTTTTCAGCTCAGCTCAGTTCAGCCTTTGGGAACAACACATTTTTAAATTTCAATAGAATATAGAATACGGCTTCTGTGATTCCAGTTTAAGAGACAAGATAAATAGAATTTTGCCCAGAATGGTTTTGTATATGAAAACATATCAGTGATTGAGGTGAAGCACATGCAGAGAGACCAATTGACTTTCAAGTAAAGTTCTCAATGTGACAGTGAGCAATGAATCTCAGCGCCTAAAACAATAAAATATATACAATAACTTGGGAAAACACTGTGCATGTGCATTGTGGGATTTAATATCTGTAGTGGTGGCAGTTTAACTGAGAATGGTGCACTGTTGTGTGTTTCAGTCGGTGGAGATACTGGGTGCTGAGCTGTTGTGGAGTCTGATGGCTGCATGAAGGAGCCCAGAGCGCTTTGAGGCACGTGGCTGCCTGTGCTCCCCAGCCACCACAGCTCAGCAGAGGGAGGATGACAGGAGTTGACATCTTTTCACCAGATAACCCAATTTGTTGTTACCAAAGACACATCCCCAGTACACCAAAACAAAGTAGATAATACAGCAATACAGCACTCACATTTTTTTTTCTTGTTGGTATTTGTAGACGAACATGATTGGGGGAAACTTTATTGGTTTTGGCGAATGTGGTGATACAAATAAGTAAGTGATGGATAGCCTGGTGACTGCATCGTGGCCTGGCCAGAGGAAACTGTGGCCATGCCATAAAGCCTGCCTTGGAAGCAGAGACTATGTGTTGTGTGTGCTCATCCGTCGGCATCGGTCTGGACCGCAGCCCAGAACAGCCACTCGCGCGCACAATCTGCAGCAAACCCACTGACAGCTCCTCTCAGTGGCAGAGTGAAGGAGGAGGTGAGGATGATATTGGAAAAACTCTGGCAGTAGATGTAGCGTTGCACAAGCACATGCCACAAAACCCACACGAAGACGATGCACACACTTGGAAACATCCACAAATTCACAGCCAGATTTCACTGACAGCCCTTCCCTGACCTGACAATCAACCCAGACACAGAAACTGATTATGATAATATATTTATTACCCATACTGGTGGGACTGTGAAGTTTGCCAGGAAATTCTGTACAGATTGGTCCCTAAAGGATCGTCCACATTTGTGGTTATGAGTAAATGCTTCAGCAACTAATGGGTGTATTACTATAAAATGTGATTCTGACATTCAGGAGAAGAAGCCATTCACATATCTACACACACATTCATACAGTTCATCTGTGTGGCACTTTGTCTATCACACATCACTCACAATCACGCAAATCACTCAGACGTGCTGCCTGCACAGCTGTCAGGGGCAATTTGGCGTTCAGTTCTGCCTGAGAACACATCAGCAGAAAGGATGGAGGAGTCGGGGATCGAACCACCGAAGACCTAATCTACCTCACCAGAATTCCAAACTGGGATTAAAGCATGCTATCACTAACACCCCATGCTAGTGACCAGCATACCAGAGCCAAAACACAACATATACTAGCAGGGTAAATTAAAACATTTGAGGAAGTTACTGCAAATAGTGATAACCACCATAACTAAGCACAAACAGAAAGACCATTTCCCACAGAAACCAAAACTTCATTGAAGACAAATCCAAGGAAAATATACATTAGCGCAGTGACCACGTTGTTTGATTGCGGGATCACATCTGTGAAGCGTAAACCAAACAGCAGTTACCACTTATCGTGAAAGATGTGTCTAAAATCCCCATGAAACAGTTAATGCAATAAATGAAGGACGCCACATGAAGAACAGTTTAATCTGTGCAGCCTTCAGCATTAGGCCATACTGCTCCAGCAGGATTTAAAGCATAGCAGATCCCACCCACTCCCATCCCAGCCTGACCTCTTGATCCAGAGTGATGAGAGCTGTTGGGATGTATTGTTATGCTTTATGCATTCCAGATGAGACCTTAGCCAGTTCCCCCACCCATACCCGTGTCTCAAAACATGTGTTGCGCTGAGTTCCTTCATGTAATGAAGTTCGCCCTTTCATGACAAAAGTGAGATGGGGTGTGGTCAAAAACAACAAGCATTGCTGTTTAGAGGGAAAAAAAGCATATTTGCATTTTTAACATTCACAAAGACTTTCCTTTAGGTTTTTTCTTTTAGAGCAACAAGGTTTCAACGAAGAATGACTATAAATGAGACCTTAGCCAAACCAAAAACTGAGGTTTCCAATGTGCAAGCGGAAAAATTACATTAAATCCCATACTGGGCCATATGGTTCAGGCAAGTGTTGAACTTGGAGTAGAAACTATAGCATGGCAGCTGGGATTGAACTCTCTCCTGTGGGGGGATGGTATGGAAGGACTTAACTGAAAACAGGCATTGTTTTTATATTTTTCCATCATAAAGTTACCGTTTCAAAACAGCCTGGGCTCTCATTACACTGGGCCTTCAGTTCAGCTTCGGTCTTGTTTAAAAAATGCTGGATTTCAGATTAACTGGTTTAATAACTTGTGTTTGGTATAAATACCGCAAGTACAAGCTTGTGTTGACTACACACACAAAGGATGTGCAAGTCGAAGGCACATGGAAAACAGTTGCATATTTGCAGCCGCAAACAAAATGTTCCTCTCTCTCTTTTTTGCCTTCACACACACACACATGCACACACACGCGTACACCACACAGTTTACAATCACAATGCAGCTGACAACCTAAAAGTGCCACTTTAGGGATGTGGGGGTTTTCCGAGGAGACTATTTAATTCTCTGAGGTCATGGTTGGGTTTGTAGATCTCCAGTCTGTAAAAAAACTACACACATGGTTGTGGGAGGAGGGCGGAGGGAGGAGGCCGTGCTGGCCAGGTCCCGAGGATCGTCAGAGAAACTGCAGTGTGCGTTTCTGCTCAATGGATGACTGGAAACTTCTTGAAAAACTGGAAACTCTGTGGTGACTTCTTGCCAATGTATCCACATCCATGACACGACAGGCAGCTACATGCCATTTCTTTCAGTTTCACTATAGAACTGACTTCATTTAATAAGCTTTGTGAGATTATCAGTGTTGCAGCAAAGGTCTGAAAATGACCAGTGTTTAATTTCCCTTTAAATGTGCTGGTGACCAGGAAATTCCAAATTCTCTCAGTAGTTCTTTCCATCGATTAGCCTTCCATTCTGTGTGTGTGTGCGTGTAAACGTTGTGTCTGCTTGAGTCACTGTCTGGCTGGCTTTCTTCCTTCAGTGAGAACGGGACAGGCTGTGGATGACAGGCAGCTGGAGTGACCATAACACACACACACACACACACACTGTGGGCCACCCTGGTCACACCCAAGGCATCCCAAGCACGCAGGGCCAGGCACTCGCACAGTGGTCTCTAAATATGCCTACTGGTCTGTGGGTGACTCACTGTCACTATGAACATCTTGTGTATGTGTGTGTGTGTGTGTGTGTGTGTGTGTGTGTGTGTGTCCATATGTGTACAAGAGGGGATCAGTGTTTGAAAGTGTCCAAAATGGCAGCACTGTGTTGTGCTCAATGTTGTGTGTGCTGGATATTCCATATGTCGCTGATGAAGGGCTCAGTTGACAATTAGATTAAGAATGAGCAGATTGAGCAGTAACAGTGGGCCGAGTGTCTCCACTCTCTCCTCTCCACTATCCTCCCATCCCCGGGGCCAACAGTACCGTGACCTCACCCTGCCTCTACCCCGCACACTCCCCCTCCGACACTTCCTGCACAGGCCCAAGGTTGGAGCACAG